ATGGTGGTAAAATCACGAACAAGCCTTCGATAAAAAGTAGCTAACCCATGAAAGCTTCATAACTTGCTTACTGTTCTCGGTATAGGCCAGTCATTAATAGCTCACACCTTCTCGACATCCAGCTTAATGTCATCCTCACTAACAACATAACCCAGAAAGAGTAATTTATTGGTGCAAAAATTTCACTTTTTTAGTTGATGAAAAGTTGGTTTTCCTCCAAAACTCAAAGGACCTGTTTCAAATGCTCCAAATGTTCTTCCTTGGTTCGATTGTAAATCAAAATATCAACAAAATACACCATAACGAAAGAACCAATAAAAGGACAAAGAACCTGGTTCATAAGGCACATAAAAGTGCTTGGCACATTTGATAAGCCAAAAGGCATCACCATCTATTCATACAAGCCATCCTTGCTTTTGAACGCAATTTTCCACTTATCACCTGGCTTGATGCAAATCTTATGGTAACCACTTCAAAAATCTATCTTCGAAAACACCATAGAACCCCCCAACACGTCCAGTATGTCATCCAAGGTATTGAAAATATGTATTTATTAGTAATTTTGTTGATCGCCCTACTATCAACACACATACGCCATGTTTTTTTCTTTCTTGGGCACCAGCAATACTGGGATTGCACAAGGACTCATGCCATCACGAATAAACCCTTTTTGCAGCAACTCTTTTATCTTCTCTCGTAGAATGTCATTCTCGTTGGGACTCATGCGGTAATGTGGCAGTTTGGGGAGACTTGTTCCAAGCACCAAATCAATCTAATGTTGGATATCTCTCATGGGAGGTAGCTGGTTGGGTTGGTCATCAGCAATCAACTCATTATACCCTTGCAAAATTTTCTGCACTCTTTTTGGAATAAGGTGATTCATGCTTCTCTATTGACAACTTTAAATAATTCATGACTTTTTTGGATATAAGATTCTCACAGTTACCACCATCGATAATTAAACTGCACACCTTGTTGTTGACGATATAAAGAGATCAAAAGATCTTATGTCATTGCCCTTCCTCTTGTCTTGGTGCGAATAACACCCGCTCCAAACCTAGGTTTATTAATTCACTTCCTCATAAGCGAAATCAGCTCCTTCATAATTTTCATCAGCACCATGATCCTCATTGTCATCCTCATTCGCTTAAGACAAGTTAACTTGCCGACGATTTGGACAATCGTTGGATTTGTGGCCTGGTTTGCCACAACGATAACAGTGATCTCCATAAGGTTTTGGATAAGGATTCGGTCTTTGGAAAAGACCTTTATCCCCAATGCAGCTACTACGTTCTGCTGCTCCCTTTGTGCCCTACCATTTGTTAGTATTATTATTCTCATGAACCTATGCAACTTTTTTACCTTTGTCTTTTGCACGGACAGGTGAATCGGTAGATTTTTTCTTAAAATTGCCTAAACCCTAAAGAACCTCTCCATTTCAACAAGCTAATCCAATAAATCTTCAACTTGTAAGTGCCCACTGAAATATGGAATTTCATTCTTCATGCGATAGCCTTCTTGGCGTTGGTTATTGGGTTGGGCATGATCGTCATGAATTTCTTCCTCGAACTCTGCATTGCTATTTTCCTGACAAGGGCGCCGTGGGGGACATCATTCTTTATGCCGGTCTTCTCCTCTGTCTTCATCTGGCCGTGCTTGGTTTCCCAAGGTCAGGATCATTTGATGTAGACCCTCGATTGTTGTATTGAATTCATCACAAGTGATTGGTTCCCCGTCTCCACATGTCCTATCTTCTCCGTCTGGATGAGCCATTGGAGGCACTTCGAGTCAGACAAAAACCTAGCTCTGATACCAACTGACGCAACAAGATATAAAGGATTGGGAGATCAAATGATAACCCTACAAGTAACAATGTCGGAATCCACCAACAAACTGGAATCCACCAGATAAATTGAGTAGACTTCAAATATATTGATTGAAAATAAGATGAATGATCCAGGATGCTCCAATGCATTCATTTTATACAAGAGAAACTCAAGACTTGCTTGGAAAGCTAGTGAGAAACCCTAGACTTGCTAGGAAAGCTAATTAGAAAACAAAAAGGAAAATAATAAAAGTTTCCCAAAATATTCTAAAAACTTTAAACGTTGAAAAGTCAAAGTAAACGATAGAATTTGGCTAAAGTCACCTATATGTCACAGCAAAGCAATGTGTTGCACTTGTCATGCCGTTCTCTTCGAAACGATAGGTCATGGGCCCGATTCTGAGTTCGGGGCCCATACTTGCACAAATTGGACTTTGCTATCGCAACAACGTGCGTGTCTATCCAGCTATTCCTCCATCAACTCGGCCATATGTTCTACATCATATATTTCTTTGTAAGGACGGAACATAAATTTTTATAAGGTGGGATGTTATTAGATAAATGACACATACTAATTAAAACAATAGAGTGAGTTGTGGGGGTTACTAGATATGAGGTCATTATTCTAACTGATTTATATCACAAACAAGCAAGCTTATGCAAAGAAATTTAAGCTTTAGAGCTATACATCAAATTCAAATTTGATGATAACAATTTGACATTTTGTTAAACTTTCTATTCCCGATGTGTCATATTTACTCTCTTTTTTTCTTTTAAAAATAAATAAATAAATATGTTTTTCGTTTTCTCCTATCTTTGTTATAAAATGCTGCCGAAACAGATTTTTGAGTTCCACGGGGAATTACTATGACATTTTAACATAAAACAATTTTAAATACTAAAACGTTTTAACATTTTAGTCTTCCGAACGCTGGCTCCTCTTCAGACACTTGCATACAATGCCAACCGGCCACCCGAACCTAAGACCACTAAAGTCTAAATGCAGTGCCTTTTTACTGTAAGAAAGAGGATCTTCTACGTGTGTTTATGGAACTCAAAATTGTGTAGTAGTTTTTAGCACAATATATTTATACTGTCATCTATTACTCAGAACCATTTTCGTCAGAGTGATATAAAACCAACCAGTGTACAAGCAAGTTAAACGAAACCCACTAGTCTATAATCAGCATTTACAATGTACATTTCCACCATCTGAGACAAGGCCTTGGGATGATGCATTGCCAGCTGGGTTCATCGTGGTTTCATTAGATGCAAGGCGAAGAAACCTTGCTTTAACACGTCTTTCTAACGAAATACGGCCGATGAACACCATTAAGGATCGTCCAGCACTAGGAATTTCAGCCCGGGGAAAACTGAAGCTTCTGTAGCAATCCCCTTCTAAAAGTTGTAGCTATCATGCTCTCACTGATTCATAAATCTCAATATACTTTCCAGCTGTGTTGTTCCAGCTATTGTCAACTGCCATAACCTTCTTAACAATGCCATTCCATTCATCTGGTCCTGCACCAGTAATTAACAGAATACTATAAAATGAACAAAGATTAAAAAAAAAAAAACAAAAAAAAAAACAAAGACAATGACTGACACTTTGATCAAATTGCAAACATCTAAAACAACGTTTGAACTGCTTTGGGCTGCAGTAGGCTGAGTTTTTAAATATAGCTTCAAAAAACAAAAGACAATAGCTTCAAATATAGCTTCAGAACAGTTTCTGTATTGTTCAATAGTTTAAAAAATTTCTGTTCTGAAACTTAAACCAGATTCTCCACACAAAAAAAACCCATTTCTATTTTTAAGTTATTTCTCCAGAAACTTTTGTGAAAAACCAGTTGTGGAAACTGATTTGGCTGCATATTTTCAAACTATTATCTGTTTTCATGATTTTAATGCCAGAAACTGTACTGAATCAGGAACCAAACCAGCCCTGCCTTCATTGTTTCTTTTATTATAACTTCGAAAAGCATTATTTCTAGGCAAAAGGTTACTTTTGGTCCCTGTAGTTTACCACTTTTACCACTTTGGTTCTTGTCGTTTCAGCACCGAAATTTGAAATTCAACAACTTTTTCCATATGAAAGACATTTAATAATGATACAAGCAGAGGTTCTAAAATAATAACAATAATAATAATAATACTAATGATACAAGCAGAACTTACTGTTTCTGTAGCAAGCGAATGCACGACCTAGGGCCCTACTTAGGGATCCTTCATCAATTCCTTCAAAAACAAACCTAACAAAAACAAATTTGAAGCATTCATAGGTACACTTCTACGATTATACTTAGAACACACAGCCAGGGCATATGCAACACACTATCACCCTAGTAATGTGAACTAGCACCTCAGAGCATGTACTTTTCAATCATCTGGTGAGGAACAGTACCAACCAAAAAAAAGGATCCCTTCTCTTTGAAAATAAATAAATGGCAATGCTTTGAACGAAATATGACAGAAAAAAGTCAGCTAGTGGTTAAATGAGCTTGTCTCCGCACTCTTCTTAATTGTAAATTAGTAATTTCACTTAAAACTAAATTGTGTCTGTGTGAAAGAGAAAGAGAAGGAGAGAGAATTCCTTATATAATCTAAACATTGAGGATGAGTGAAAGGTGAACACAAGTTCAGTGACTTGATAATCAAGAAATAATCACTCTAAAGTGCAGAATAAACACTTCTAAGAAATTAGTATAAACAAGTTCATGTGGTCTGAGGCAAATCAAAGAAACATGGTTAGCCTAAGCTCTGGAGAGTAACCAAAGACCTGCCAAACCTTGTTCTTTGATCTGTTTTCTTTAATAATTAAGGCTTAATTCAACCCTGGTACACGGAAGGTGTACCCTAATCTATGATGATAAATCTGTGTTATTATCCTTGACTTGATCCATCAGTAAAAATCTCCACCAACTTAAACACAGCATATTCATGACAGCACAGTGAGAGATTAAAACAAACTAAGAAGGAATTTCATATTCTTCCTCATGAACTGCTTGTGCCATAATTTTTTGCTTCCAGCCCACTTGTAACTTTAGGCCTTTCGATGAAAATTTGAATAATCTTTAGCAATAATTTAGTATGATTTAAGATTGGAAACACATTCCAGTCCTGTGTCTTGTCTAGTTTCTTACTCGGTTTTCATGCTCTCTACATTTTCATCAAGTTTGAGTTTACAATGCCTTTCTTGTTACAATACAGATTAGTAAATATTTGGTTAGTGCATCACTGCAGCTTGACTTTATTTCTACAGTCGTTAATTTGTTTTCCTACACACCATAAAGAATTTGAGTTTATAGACACCATCACCGCCACACCTGACCAAAGTAGTTATTTCCTAGTATTTAAAGCTGAGAAAAATGCCTCTGGTTAATAGTAAATAGGCATTTGCCTAGCTTCTCGAGCAAATTGGTGCAGTGGATTCAAGTTGTGAGCCAATCCGTTAAAGCTTAATTTAATATTCAGAAATTGCAAAGGAAGTTACCCATTGGCCATCTCATGGTTTGGCTCATCATCCATGTCAAAGACTGTGTCTGCAAGACCGCCAGTCTTTCTAACTACCGGGACCTGAAACAATTGATTCAACCTAAGTGAGACCTTTAAATAACTTTGGTTTTCTCTACTAACTCATTTTGTGTATCTACAATTTACTGCAGTGTGAATAAAAATATCTTATATATAATGCTATACAAGCAAAAAGCCAGAGATAGACAAGACGTTGTAGCTAGTGAGACATAGTTTCCCAGCACTAGAATGCTTCAGAAGAGTTGTTAGTACATAGCCATCACTAAAGTAAAAAATCAAATGGTAGGATTTAATTGTCCAATAGAAGTACATACTGCCCCATAACGCATTCCAATCATTTGGGCAAGTCCACATGGCTCATACATGGAAGGAACTAGTATAAAGTCTGCAGCAGCATACAGCAAGTGGGATAGCTCCTCACTGCATTGCAAAGCAAAACAGAAACACCACTTATTTACTAAGCAGAAACATCAGCCGTAAGCTTTCTTGGACAATAAACAGAAATTTATATAGAAAGGACAGGCACTTCAGCTATTTTGTATGGAATAAATTTATATCTTCCCACGACAATAAGTTCCAACACTGAATAAGAAAATATGAATATAGTATTTAAACAGATCTGTAAGTACAATTAAATGTAAATTATGAATTGGATGGTGCTTCAAGATTGATTACCTATACATCAACAATATCCGAATGCTGGGACCTTGGTTATGCTACAAAAAGGGTACAAAGTATGAATGTCTGTCAGCTTTCTTCGACTCAAAAGGTAGGGTACAGAAAACAAGAAAAATATTTAAAATCACAGATCTTCCACAAAACTCAATATGTCATGGAATATTGAATATCCTGTTGCTCTTGTCAAGGATACTTCTGACATCTTCTCTGTATTATTCCAATTTTAGCGACTTAAAAAACGATAAGTTTTCGATGATTATTAATTACTAACAAAATCACAAATTTCAAATCCTCTCATATATGGGACACTATCCAAAGTGAGAAGCATGACAACCAGGAAAAACAGAAGAAGAAAAAAATTGCATCTAGATTGTTTGGTGTAAGAAATACATTTGTTAGACATTTGTGTTGTGAGCCACACTATAAGTGTAGCAATATAATAAAATGCCTTCTTTTTCTGGTTCTCAATGCAGTTATCTTTCTATTCTAAAATAGTCATTCGTTTCCAAATATCTGGTAGACTTGTTTCAATTAATAAGGCAAGGACTGACTCTGAAAAATTGAGTAGTATCATATTGCTATTGGACAGACAAAGATAGCATTAGATAATTGGGAACCTAGAAGAGCAGACAGCATAGAGCATACAAATTTCCTTGCTAAGCTTTGAAATCTGACAGCCTGATGCATATCCCAGATGAAGGGCAAGGGTGATTTGGCTTTTAAAAAGACAGTGTTCTTTAAAGCTACTATTGGGTATACACTCCAAATATAGTTTACACTCTTCGAGTTATTTGAATGGTCATTAACCAAAGACTTACAAGCCAAATCATGGTTAAACAAAGAGAGAACCAACAAGGGAAATATGAAACAAGAAAAAACAGAGTAATTCAGACATTATTATGTCTTGAATCCTAGTATAACTTGAGAGACATAAACGTCAAATCCATTACCAAATTCACAAGACCTTCAAATTCACTTTCAACCCGAGAATCAGGAGCTTTTCCCAGTATAACCATCTGTCCACCCTGAAATTGACTCCAGCATTTGGAGCAAAGAGAAAATAATCAGAAACACATTCTCTACTCTTAATTGAGATTGTAGTCAGGAAGATCTAAAGCACAAATGTGAAGGAAAAAAAAATACAGGCAAAGAATTGCCAAAATTTTCATAACAAATTAAAAAATCTCTCCAAACAATGTCTTTCTGTCGGGTCTGTTGGACATCTTGGTTCTAAAACCAATCTTGTGCCAGCTTACATAACACTGCCAGTTTTCTTAAGGGCCCAGTCTCATATAACTGCCAAACTGTCTGACAACACATACAGGAAAACTTAAGTATACACACATGCATATGCAAGTGTACATGCACCAACGCATCCATGCCCACCCATCTATCCACACACCCAAGGCACAACTTAGGAGCACAAAAGAATGTAATGCACTAACAAACTTACAAGTTCTTCAACTTGCTTAATTGCATGAATAATCAAATGAAGACCCTTTTGTGCAACTAAGCGAGTGATGCACACAACCAAGGGCACCTTGAGTGCAGTATCTGGCACATGGTTTCTCGAGGCCAAACCAAGTCCTCTTTGGACATAGTATTTGCATAACTTTTTGCCCTCAGAGTTTTGAGCTGCAAGAGACAGAACAAATGATAATGAGAATAAAAATTACTGTGCATTGGGTTAAATTCTTAGCAACAGAGTTTCCGGCATTGCATGGACCCTTCACCCCAGTGTATCCTGGTCAACCCGACATACATTAAGGATAAGACTAACAGACACTCCAAAGAAGTGTAAACTTTCAAAAACAACAAACCGGAAACTTGTACATATACCATCCAACACGCCTCCATAGATGTACTACCCATGCCACTCCTAAGCTAAGGAGTCTTTGTTTGTTAATCTTTTCTGGGACTGAAAATAAATCCTAGTAATTTATGCATTTTTTAATGGATTCTGTAATTAAAATGCCAGAAAACAATTACAGCCACTGGCATAGAAGTTCTTGCACGCACAGAGATATATGCTGCTGGTGGATGTCATGATCATTAACTTAACTGAAAATTGTAGATAGGAATAGTGTTTGATGTCAGGGATAGGATCCCACTGATCTCTCTCTCTCTCTCTCTCTCTCTCAGCTTCTTCTGCAGGCAAACTGCAGCTCCCTCTCTAGAGTTTATCAGATGAAGATGTAGCACATAGGAAAAAAAGAAGAGAACAAAAAACAATAAAAATTCAGGATAACTCTAACTTTAGTCTTCTAATCTAAAATTGATAGGCAAAACTAGGGTTCATTTACAAGGATGGCCTATTAATAAGTGTAATCTAAAAGGAAATGAAGGAAAAGAAAACATTAAAATAGTTAATCACTAGTAAAACACAGTAGAAACTAAATTAATGTAGTATAATATTCTATTTTATAAGAAACAAATACTGTAATGAAAACTACACGAGATTATTTCTTAGCCTATGCAAATAGGTACAGAGGCCACCAAGATCCCCATTAATTACAATCTCGAGGGAGGAAGAGCAAAATAGAAAAGAATATAATATTCTATATCTAAAACATTTATTACGTGAGTTACACAGATGAACATACAAACAGGCGCATGCTCACTCACACACACACGACCCGGAGAAATAACATTTTCCATCCTCATCTAGCAATCTTATGACATTTACTGATCTAGCTTTATTTCCAAAACTACTTCAACAAAATGATAGATAAGAAAAGCTTATATTTGAAAAGGAAAAGCTTCAAATATATATATGATCAAATTGCAAATTTAATACGAACTTACTCATAAGTTCTTACCATGGAACTTTGAAGGCAAGAAAACATCAATAGAAGGGTTCCACATCACAGTGTCTATTCCATTTACTATACCTACGTACCTACAGAATTACATGAAATTTAAATATCAACAGATGCAAAGACAATAAGAGGTTTTATATTCTTAATCAGAGAGGAGAAATAGAAATAAAGCTGAATTTAAAGACAAGTGATATGCCAAAAGCATAATGTTATTGCAGTTTTTCAAGGGGCAAAAAGGCATGAAAAGAGATCACTAAGTGCAACTATCTAATTGCTGGATCTTGTACTGCAACAGTAGTTCAACATGTCTGATTCAATTCCTTACAAAGAAATAATGTCAGATTCAACCACAGAGCAATCTACAGGAAACCTCGATTTTAATAAAAATGCAAAACCATTTGTGTTTATTATCACAGTTAAGGAACTTACTTATCACGGTGTCTTATCAAAGTATTCGAAAGCCATCCAGAGCAGAGTGTTTCCTTGAGATATGTTGGAGAAACTGTACTGAAAGTGAAAGAAGAATCACTTGTTGACATAATAGATACAAGGGGAGCTTGTCTGTGCCAATGTGGGTGGGTGTGTGCTCATGCCTGCACAGGCACAATGGAAAATATATGATGACACTGAAGGAAATTAAAGAAACTTTGTGTGGACTTAATATGGAATTTAATCAAGTTCTTGGTAAAGGCCCTTTTGCTACTTTAAGGCAGGTATATGTATCTGTCAGTGAGAAAGGAGTAGAAAGACCTTGATGCTTTACTCTATCCCACAGGACAAGTATAGTCTAACTGTTGCACCACTTTTCAGAGATGCATGAGGGGCAGCTTGATAATACAGATTAACTCTGAATGTGATTGATGTGGGGAAGCCTGGGCACAACCATGACTTTGTTACTGGTACTGGCACCCTCTCAAAGGAAGAGATGCAGTCTCAAATGGATGATTTTTGTTTTTGTAATAAGAAACAAAACTTTCCATTAAATACAAAATAAGTACAAAGATAGTTAACTAGTCCACTTCTAAAAAAGCTTAACATGAAACCTGCAACATCAACTCTATCCTAAGAGAGACCTAGTAACACAATACCAGAGTTACTAAAAACAGCTGCTTTCCAAAATGATAGAACAGAGAAAGACAGCTCTTTCAACTCTGAAGCTACAGATGCCCACAAAGAAACCCAAAAGTGAACCCTATCCCATGTGCACTTCACCTGCTCACGAAGCACATTCTCAAAGACCCTCATATTCCTTTCCATCCATAACCCAGAAAATTGCCATCATAGCACATCTCCCTGAACTACACCCCTTTTCTTTCCACCAACAGCAAATATTTTAACGCTTGGGCCAAAATGTAAACCCTATTTTAGTTTTTATGATAAGCAACCTTTTTCTATATCATTTGGCCAACGTAGTTAGACAACTCAAGGCATTAAAAAAATATACAAAGAAAATGTGCATTACTTGGTCATGGCTGGCTATGGATATCAACTGCAAATATGAGTTTATCAAGAAATAAAAAAAATAGAGAACAACCCAAAAATTAGTAACACCACTTACACTACTGCATTGCTGTAGACAATTCCACCTTTCAATAAGCTTAACCTCTCAGGATTATGGCCAACAGTTCGATCATCAACTGCCTAAACCATATTGATAAGTGTGAGAGACATGGTAAGTTTTGGCTGTTAAAGATAGTAATTTGAAAATTCAACCAGGGCTGATCTGAGTTTGCAAAGGTACTGACAAATATACACACACGTGAAAAATACTGTTTTTCCTTCTACCCAGAAGGTAATAGTTAGGTGTGACCAAAGAAACATGTTATCAATTGATGAAAAATCCTAGCAACGCCAGATTAAAATCTCAATACATAGCTTCAGCCTAATTAGCACAAGCAATGAACTCAGCATCTATGATATTACTCTGTGACCGCATGTGACAAAGAACCAATTAAAATTTTACAAAATATAAAAACACACACACGAATCACATCCATGTAAAGAGCTCACTTTGTCAAAGGTTGCATATAGAGATCCGTCAAGACCGCACATGTTAAGTTGCTCTTGTCTGCCAAAAAAATAAAACAACGGTTATGAAGATATTTTGGAAGACTTAAAGAACTTCATATACAATAATGAAACAGCTCTTTTAGAAGTTGCATGGATCACAAAATGTCACGTGAATTTAAGAATACAACAAATAAAACAAGTATTTTGTTGTTAGATAACTGAAGTCCATTACTGACAGGTCACATAGCATTCTTTCTGGAACAGAGGAATGAAATACTAAAGTAAAAAAGCAACAATAAAAAAAATATTTAAAAAAAATACTTACTAGGTGTCATTAGATATACTTTTTAGAGTCTGTATATGTGAGGCAATCTGAATGTTTCAAGGATATTCATATTAACACAATTCCAATATTGGGGCCATACCTATCAGAAACAAGTTACAAGAATTGGCTAAGAATCACTTCAATAATTTTATGTGAAACATATGCTTATAAGTTATAGGTTCCTGATCCATGATTGAGTTTAAGAAGAAATTTACTGGGATTTTTTATCAGTAGAACATGAACAAGGCACATGTAAAACCTTGCAATATTAGGTGAAACTATAAATAATTGAGACAGTTCAGTCAGGTAAAAAGAAATCCAAGGATTCTCAACTACGAAAGAATGATCAAGTCAAATTAATGGAGCGGAAATAGCTCAAGGGGACAAAGTATATTGAAAAAATAAGAGTACACAAGCATTTATTTACTTCTCTCTATAAGAAATTTTTTTCACTTACCTACATTCACCATAATGCTCCATGTTATGGATTGTCAATACTATTCTCGGTTTCTACAAATTAGTGAATCACACAAGGTAATATTAATATTATATGCAAAAATGAACTATATTACAACATTGTTATCCATCAGAAACCTTGAAGATGACACAGTAGTGATTACAACGTAAATACCTGAAGCGAAAGATAATGATACATATCCCAATAAAGCAAGGGTAAAGCACCTGTCTGCCATTCATGGACATGAATGATATCAGGTTGTGTTCCAGTCACCTGCTATGATGCATACTCTTGTCAGAAATTGGAAGAACAAAATTTGTGAAGTCGACAGTTTTAAATAAATTGTAACAAGGATATCATGCTACAAATAACTTGGCAGAACAGCCAAGAAACACTTGATTTGGAATGTTGGAAGTTATTTATTTGTTTTTTCCTGTGTAGTGTATATAAGTACTACAAATATTCAAACAACACTACAAATGCAACTCATTCATGGGACCATGAATTCAAGCAGTCCTTCGCTTCCATATCCATTTTTTTCATGCAAATTAAAACTCAAAGCCAAGATGCCAACAAACAAAGCCTCTACGATCTATCATTTCTAGGCCAGGAGACCAAGTTAACTTTTTTAATCAATGCACATAAATAAGAACTGAAAAAATTAACTTTCTATCAGTTTTGAGTTGAAGTACAGATAACAACCTGCATCCATTCAAGGCAAGCACGACTAAAGAACAGATATGCCTCCAGCTCATTGTATGAACCCCCATATACATGCTGGCCCTTAAAGAACTGATGTGATGGCTCAATAAATATAACTGGGATTCCTGAAACTGTGCCACTATACGCATGAGTGGGAATCCACTTTCCATCATGATAAGAGTTATATGTTGTGATCAACGTCAAGTCATCGATCTGCTCCCTCTGGATACACTCATAGAAAGGAAGCATTATATCTACTCTATGGCCCCGCGATAAACATGCTCGAGCAAGTCCAGTTACAACATCACCAAGACCACCAACTTTAGCTATTGGTGCCATTTCAGCTGTGACATGAATTATGTGCATGAGTTTGGAATCTTTCTTTACTTCAGAGGGAACTTCCAAGTTCGCATCCCAAGAAGGGAAGCCCTTCTTCCAAAATGGGATTTCATCAGTAGGAGAAGGCCAAACGAATTCCTGAACGCCAAAATCAGTCAAACTTCCTTGCTTGGCAATGCCTACCTGCATATAGAAGTTTTACTAGTTAATAATAGTGATTATAACAATAAACATGGAAATTGAAACGTTTGTAGTATCTATGACTTAGTTTTAGAAATTCAGAGTAATTTACAAATTGAATATATATGATGGGCTAGAGTCTAGACTTAGGCTTCAAATAACTTCTAGTACTGATTTTGATTAGATTCACAGCTTCAAAAAAATTTAACCAATACCAATAGGATTCCTCTTCTATGCAAAATTTATTCCCCCTTGAATTTTAAAACTTTCAGCCGTCCACAAATGAATTCCGTATACAAATACTAAAGCATATCTATTTAACTTAGACTACAGCCGCCCACAAAAATGCATAAAATGAAGCTAAATTATCTCAATAACAACCCAAACTTTCTTCATCGGTCCATATCTCCTTTTACATACCCAGTTTAACCCACAATCAAAATTCAAATATTTACAACAAACTCAAATCATAATAGAAAAATGGAAACTGCAAAAATTAGCATTTACTTCGTTTTTCCTTTTTTATGGTGATGTGGGGATGGAGAAATTACCTCTGATGACAGATGGGTTTGAGCTTGAATTTTGAATTTAGAAGAAGAGCACAAGTTGTGGGCACTCAGTCCATTATTTCTATTCAACACTATCCTCCTCCTCCTTGGATTTGACAATCTTGAACTTGAAGGACCAAAGAACCTTCTTGCAGTTGCACACTCCATTTTCACTCTCATTTGCAGCAGAGACTACTGCTTTTTTTTTTCTTTTTTTTTTGGGGTGAAATGAGGGCCAAAGCCCAAGCAGAAAAACCACGATTTGAATAACTCCAAAATACCATGTTTAACGGGTCGCTCAAAAATGGGTTATTTTTCCCAAATACGTAAAAGAGAGCTCACCAATCATCCCGCTAGTGTCAACCTCTCTCTCTCTCTGTATGAAAGAAACCAAAAATCCCACTAAGCAAAACCCACCAAATCCTTGAACAATCTTTTTTGTTTTTTAAATCCTCCTTGGTGTTGGCGGCATTTGAAGCTGGCCAACAAGTCCAAAGTCAACCTATGAAGACTTGAATTGTTTGTGAACATAAAGATGCGAAGTGCTCTTACAAAAATGTGGAAGAATTGAGGATAGGCCGAGAACTTTTGACTATATGCCCCAAAAGAATGTATTTTCATGAGCTGTTTAGCTGGTATAATGCAAAGGGAACACCAAGCTAAACCCAATTTCATCACATTTCTGAGTGATCTCTCAGCTTGTGGACATATGCTGGCCTGGTTGATAAGGGCCATGAGATCTTTGGAAGTATGAATAGTAACTACTCACTAAAACCAAGAATGGAGCATTATTCTTTCTACGGTGAAGCTCTTGGGACGTGCCGGCCCCAAAATTTGTATCAAGCATGCGAGTGTGCTATGCAGATGCCTGATAAAGCCCAATTTCGATGTTTGGGCTTGCTATTAACAGCAGTTTTTTGCCTTTTTTTAATTTATTTATTTATTTTATATATGAAACTATAATCAAATCTCATATTACCCTCCGAAACTCAAAGTGACCTATATTACCTTTTTGACCAATGTTTGACGTTTCACTTTGCCCTATTACAGTCAAGTCTGTTATAAAATCTATTAAAGTGGCTCAAGTGGCATGAAGGGGACCCAGCTTTTTGAACAAGTGTTTGCCAAGCAAGTGACATGTGTCTAAAAATAATAATTAAACATTTATATTTTAAAAAATAAATATAAAAGAATAAAAATCATAATCTCTTCCCATCCTCATCCCACCTTCTCCAAAGCACCCGCCACAACACTACAAGAAACATTAAAATTTTAGTTTGATTTGGCCACAAAGATGAGGTTACAAGTAACCTCAAGGCAACGAAAGCTAAAAATGAATCTTTGAGCTTTAAAAAAATTAACCCCAAATATCTCAAGGTTTCGTTTAGATTGTTCCTCTCCTTTATTTTTTTTTTTTTGGTCTGAAGATTGTTCCTCTCCTAGACACTCTTGACTATGAGAAGAAGAGAGTAGAAACTTTACTCTTGAAGTATTACCCAAGGTTGACATCCTTGAGTTGGTTACTAGGGGTGGGCATCGAGATCGAAAAACTAGAACATCGAACCGTACCGGATGGAAAAAAACAAGAAAAAAAACAGGTTGATTGAAAAAGTCAACAAACCAGCGTTGAACTAGACTGGATGGGAAAAAAAGGAAAAAAAAAAACAGGTTGATTAAAAAAGTCAACAAACCGGCACTGAACTAGACCGGATGGAAAAAAATAAAAAATAAACTGGTTGACTAAAAAGTCAACAAATAGGTACTAAACCGGACCGAACTAGTTCCAACTGGTTCTAGTTCTGATTCCACACCACACCAAACCAGACCAAACCAAATCGAACTGGTTGTGTATAATTTTTTTTATTTTTAATTTTTTTGCAAAATTATTTAACTATAATGCTACATTTTTAACTCATAACTAATATTTCACCAAGCCCAACATCAAAAACATCTCTCTTTTTTAGGCCCAATATCTCTCTTTGTATGAAATTGGATCATTTATAAATTTTCAAACCCAAAAAATAAAAATTTTGTTTCAATTTGTATATTTATACAACTATAAAAAATAAAATAAAAAATGGCTTTTTATCACAAACGTCCTTGAGGTTTGCAAAACTATCAGATTGCGTCCTTTTTATTTTTTTGTCATTCGTGGTCAAGGTTATCATGCGTGTTCACAAGTAGTCCTTGTCGTCAGGTTCCGTCCAAAAATATGTTAGATTGATGATGTAGCACACATGTGGGCCTCACATATCCAATGATACGACGCCTCGTGGATTAAATGAAAAATAAATTATTAAAAATTAAAAACTATATAATAATAAAACTACAACTTCTCTCCTCTCTTTCCTCTCTCCTCTCTCCTCTCTCCTCTCCCCATCCCAACCCACCCCCACCATCACAACAGTCTCTCTTTCTCTCTCTCTCTCTACTCTCAACCTGATCCAAGTACTTCCATGGCGGCTGGACTCTTCACCACCACAAACTCCAACCCTATCTGCCTCATCCAATCCTTATACCTCACATGCAAGGCCCCAAATCTGACCCCATTCATTCTCAGTAAGTCCAAACGAAAATAGCAACACATTGATGACTGGATTTCAGAGCACAGGGGACCAAGAACACTAGCACATCGCTTCAAAACCTCCTTCCTAGAACGATTGTTCCTCATGGTTCCTCAAAGCCTATCAAATCCATCCTCAATTCGGAACCATTGTGCATCATTATAAGATATATGTGCTTGATTGAAGAAGAAACCCAAAATGCCCACACCTTTTTATACATAAATCTTTCAAGATGCAGGCTATACACCCAAAATGAACAAAGACCTGATTTTGCAGACCCAAACCATTATAGGCTGAGAAGTGGGGTGGGTTGGGGGGAAGAGGAGAGGAGAGATGAGAAAGTTGCAGTTTTTTATTTTTGGTTTAATTTAGTTTTTTTAATTAATATTTTCTGATTTTTAATATATTTTTTAAAATGCATTTTTTATTTAATCCATGTGGCGTTATATTATTGGATGTGTGAGGTCCAATGTGTGCCACATCATCAATCTAATAGATTTTGTAGAAACTATATATTCAATTATAATATTTGAGATATTACAAACTATATTTATACCCAAACTATAAGATATCTTCCTAGTGGTTACAATGAAACGGAAAACCCATTATATCCTAATAAAGGCTAATAACAACATAATAGCTCAAACACTAATGTATTGTTATTGAAGACTCTTAACTATGGTAACCCCTGTAACCTCCTAACACTCCCCCGCAAACTTGATACCGGAGAGGTGATAAGTTTGGAAATAAGATGTAACAACCCGATCCTAAATTAATATTTAATTATTAATTTATTCAAGTAAAAGACAATTTTACCTAGGAATATTTTAAAGGTTTAAAAGTTGACTTTTTATTCGGGAAGAAATTTAGGAATTTCAGTTGTACCGTTGTGTAAAGCACGTCGAGATGAGTCCGTAGACGTATAGTGGGCGCAAATCTTAGCTGTATTGAGGGAGATACAACTAAAATACGTTGAGCGGCAAAATGGTAATTTACCAGGTCAGATTTTTGAATCTCTCTCTCTCTCTCTCTCTCTCTCTCTCTCTCTCTCTCCCCGCGACAGAACACCCCCCCTGGATTCCTCCTGCAGCAGATGCCTTCAACCTTCGCAATCACCACCTCAGGCCACGACAGCACGCGGGACCAGACCCATTACGACTGGCTAAGCCACGCCGTCATCTTCAAACCAACCCGCGCCCTGAAACCAATGGATTTCACCTGAAATGTTGCTAGAGTAGCTGAATTTTGACAGAGATTTCACCATCGCCGTTCTCCATCCTCCGACCGCCATTTTCAGTGATCAAGGTATGAAATCTCATCTACTCTTCGATTTTGGGAACTAGGTTTTGACAGGAATTCAAGTTGAGATTCCGACCATTTCCAAGCATGTTTCGGGGTAGATCCCATAACAAAAGTGGTTCCAAATAGGGTGTTACACCTAGGGTAGGAGTCTTGAGCCGTAATTTTGAGATTTTCTGGTGAAGCGTTATCGCTTTGGGCACCCACGCGCTGCCGGCGCCTGCGGCGGTGCTAGGGCACTGTAGAAAAGGGGTAACGTGTCCCAATGCGATTCCCTAGTGGTCATGAGCGTGTAGGCGTGCTTAGATTCCAGTTCGAATATCGTTTGACCCTCGAATAGATTTCGCCTATTGTGTGATTTCCGGCTTCGATACGTTTGAACTGTTGGATTATAGTTAATTTGATATATGTTGATCTGTGTAATTCCAAAATCTTATAGGATTCGACAGATCGTAAAACGGAGTCCCGGATCGCCAACCCTAAGGCTAGGTTTACAGTAACCGTCCTATTGTCCGATCGTGATTAATCCAACCGTCCGATTGAGACCAAACTCTCAGAACATGTGTCCTTGGCATATTGGAACCTCTAGGAACTCTCGGATTGGAATTTTGAGGTCATGAACCGCACGGGGTCCCGGGTCGACTTTTGGGACTTTATCACTTTTTGAGTTCCGAGGCACTTATAGACCGTTCCAAAGATGAGAAAAGCTTTTGTGTGCAAAGTTGTGATAATTCTGAAAGATGAGTTTTACACCCACTGTACGAGTACCCTCCTCCCAAAAAGTTGCCTTGAATCAGTTGTCAATTATAAAATACCTCACAAGTATCGGGGACACTCGAACTATGCGGTGTGAGGATTGCGGCTCAGATAGAAGTGGTATCTCCGAGGCCTACGAGGATTGCGGCTCAGATAAAAGTGGTATTGCGGTTCGGATAGAAGTGGTATCTCCGAGGCCTGCGAGTATTGTGGCTCGAGTAAACTTGGTATCTCCGAGGCCTGCGAGGATGGAATTGACGGGTCAGGAATGAGGGTAGGCCTAGGTGGAGAGATGTTCTTAAACTAAAATAAAGGGAGTTCAGTGTATGACATATTTATATTCAGCATATGATTGAGTATAATACACACATGAGAAATCAGTTTGATTTTCCAAATGCATAACTATATGATGAATGAATAAGATATGCAATTACATTGTTAAAGGGAAGAACTACGTGTGGCTTGATCCCTTGTTAAGAGTACGTAGGCAACCTGGAGTTATTAGGTGCAGCTGCAAGATCTAATGATTGAATAGAGGTTCTGTTAGGTTATTTGAAATCTATAAATGAATTCGCGTTCCTTTGATTTCGTATGTGTCGGTAGAACAGTTTATTTGTTTTCAGGTGGCCTGAGGCCATATCGTTTTGATATTGAGTTGCTAGAATACTGTGTGAATACATTCTGGCAGTTGGTGTATATATATATATGTTTATTTAACTGGTGGAAATTTTTGGGGAAATATTCAATTTACAGGGGAGACTCTGCCGAATTTTTGGCAGAAGTCAAACTTGAATTTCATTGGATTTGG